GATATTTTGGACTAAACAATAACAACAAAATCATGAAAATGTGCAATATTTTAATTTACAAAATCACATGAAAACGTCAACGATGTTTTGTTAACAAAATGTATGCCTGTACAACTATGGGGCTGCAGAGTTCCAAAATGGGAGAGGTGAGTGTCTCAGTCTGAAAATGTTCTCTGTCGTCTTCTGACAACAAATCACATTAAAAATGTTAATAGCATGCATATCCTACTTGTGCACGGATGATTGCTTTGACCCTCCTTCTCATGCTTGTCGTGTGTCTCCGGATTGGCTCCATTGGCAGCTGCTGCCACTCCCGACGCAAAACTGCTTCCAAACATGCCAGATCTTGTACAGGCGGACCCGGTGCTTGCACTCGGCATCCAAGAATGCCCCAGACAGGCTCCAATGGGTTCAGGTCCAGGCTCATAGCAGGCCATGGAAGTTTGGTTACAGCGTTGCATGAGAAAAACTGTCACAAGTCGGGAACGATGTGGTCGAGCGTTGTCACCCATAAATACAGGGCGAGTGGCTAATGGATGGTTATCAAAATGTGGCACAAAAACAGGATCCAGAATGTCCCGGATGTCGTGGTCGCCATTGAGCTTTCCACGAACAGTTGCCAAGTCCAGTTTACAATCATGGGAGAGACAACCCCAGACCATGACAGATCCACGACCGTAAGGAACTAATGCTCTGATGTTCTTATGCTCATAGGCACTGTTCTTGGTCCTCCAAACTCGCTGGCGCCCGTCTGTGACGTGCAATAAAAAGTGACTCTCATCTGACCAATGTACCTTCCTCTATGACGTCAAATTCCAATGACGTCGGGGTAAACACCACTCTAAATGAGCTCTCTTGTGAATATTGGTGAAGGCTGGACGCTTGATCACCCTTCTTGCCCTCATCCCATGTGCCTTTATGCGGTTTCCTACAGTCCTGTTGCACAGACGTCTGTTGGAGAGCCATAGGTGCTTCAGGACGCCATTTGTCGTGAAAGGCTGATGTCTCACAAGGCTTGCTAAATCCACATCCTCAACTTGAGGATCCTCTTTCGGGGTTGACTCAGCCTTGGTCAGTTAACCTTGTTGGTTTGACGGTGTTTTTGAACAATTCGACTTAGAACGGTGTGGTGAATGTCAAGCTGTCGTGCATTCCAATAATTTTGCCATCTTCTTGCTCCTGGTAGTCTCCTTCGTGCCATTGTAACAGATACTGGTGAAATCATTAAAAGGTTTTGGTGTTTTATACAGTTAGCCGCATTGAGTTAATAAGTGCTTTTTGAGACAATCGTGGGTAGTGTGTTTCAACTGCATAATCGGATGTGTTTTGACGATTGACTTAACAAAACTCTTAAACAATATTGAAAGGGAATGCAGTTCAAATAATAGTCATCGTTACAATTCAAGATTTATCATTAGGTAAGTCAGTAACTTAAATATGTTAGGGGGTGCTTAATTAAGTTCCATGTGTATATTAATTATATGCAATTTTAATTGAAGCAGAAACATCACTAATAAATTGAAAGGGGTCCCCGGTAATATCCTAGACTTGCTTCATTTTGAGCTCTAGCATAGCATAAAGTAAAGGGTGGAAGGGGAAATAATGCGGTGACTTCGTTTTCAGAGACATAGGAATTTCAGTTTCCTTAACTTGGTGTCTATCGCAAACGTTAATGATTGTAGCACTCGCATGAAGTTCATACAAAAGGGAAAAGTGACCGTAAAATCAGCGAGGAAATGCTAATGAGAGGATAACATGGGGTCTGAGCTGTGAGAAAGCTTGAAATTTCTGTTGTCAAGATTCTCGGATGGTCAGCAGCCTCGCCATAATATTCAGCTCATTATGAGCAGATGTGGGTTGTTTTGTTTTTTTACATGCCTTGCGACAACAGGAAGTGGGTGCAAGAGCATACGCTAAGTTCATGTAGGAATTCTGTGACCATTCTCCTACCCAGAGTTCCTAGCATAGTATGTGATGTTATATTATCACTGCACCGCAGATATGACGTCAATATTAATATTAATGAACTCGCGTGGTTGTTATGAATAAACAAGAAGCTGAATGTGACCCAATACGTGCCCTCATAGTCAAACCAAACGGTGTGAATCGTGGGCCAACCTGGTACTGTCCAGGTGTACAAATATTGTTCTACAACTGCGACAGTGAGGTGCATGACAATACATATCTATGTATCAGAATGACTGCATTGCCAGCTTCGATGACAGCACGTGGAGCCATACAACCAGTGTAGGTACGCAAATCGAAATATTATTAATCGATTCAGAACATGTTCTCTGTTAAAGTTAACGATTCTACAACATATGTTTAACAGATGTGTAGACTCGTCAAAACAAATAAGAAACATTTGAAAATCATATACAATATATTGAAAAGACTGTGTAAGTTGTGACGAATCGTCACATGGCGGCTGTTTTCGGCCTAGAAACTATTGCTGGCCGCGTGGAATTCAGAGCGACTGTGTCGTACGTGTTTGTATTTAACCATATGTTCGTTCACCATGTGAATAATATATTAACATACCTGTGCAGAGGAAGATGGGGCTAGGATTCACCTACATATCAACGTATAACATCTGACAAATCTGTGACATCTGCTATATGATCAATTCTTCGTTCAATATCGATGCTATGAATGGAAATGGAACGTACAAAGCAAGTATATATGTATGTATATATGTATGTATGTACACACTGTTACGTACTGACTGTAGCGAGGTTAACATTCGTATCATTGTCACGAAGGACAAATCAATATAAATGATACACTCGATGGTGTACGTTACCAAAGTACCACCATGACACCTGGTATGTGTGTGCATCGTATAGAATAGAGTCTGTTGCCGGAGTATTCGAGGTGAGTGTTGATAACAGGATAGTGTCTGTTATCCCAGTATTGGGACCAATGAAGGTCCGGGTTGGAATTGGTCCGTGTTAGAATTGATCTTCAGTAACCCATACTTGTAAGAGACGACTAACGGGATCCGGTGGTTAGGCTCACTGACTTGGTTGGCACATGTCATCGGTTCCCATTTGCGCAGATCGATGCTCATGGTGTTGATCACTGGATTATCTGGTTCATACTCGACTATTTACAGACCGCCGCCATATAGCTGGAATATTGCTGAGTGCGGCGTTAAACAACAACCAACCAACCAACCCAATACTGGAGGTAGACGTGGAGTTGCTGTCATCAGTGTATTCAAGGTGGACATGTGTCTGTGGCCTCAGTATTCGAGGTGCACGTGTATGACAGGGATACGACATGAACGAGCTTGTAGTAGATTTATACAAATATTGTATGTGTAAAGGAGTTTAGAGGGATGATTCAAGGGAGACAACTCTGACAGTTATCGTGCCAAACCTCGCGATTTGTAAGACGTGTTTCAGGCGAATCCTGCTTCATTTTCACTGTGGTGCGCTGTAAATTACAACCTGCAGCCCTACATGATTTAATAAGGACAGCATACGTCCAAATCAAAAGTCTTTTCCCGTGATACGTGGAACCGATTACATCTCCTTGAGTACTGATTATAGGTGTATCTATATGAATCCTCGGAAAAGGGCTATTATCAAAATGGTATTAACTGCACAGACGTTGTTGCACACCATCTCTGTAACCACTGACACATTGAACGTAACAATGCTGAAACTGGCTATAGATATTGCAAAAGATAATAGGGCATCCACATATAACTCGTCCCAGTAGCCTCCAGCCCCGTCTCTCAGATCCAATAAGCCACAGTTCTCCCCCTTAAGCGATGAGAAGGTTCCTCAATTCTATTACCTATTAGAATAAGTTTTATTCTCATTGTAAAAACATATAATCTGGGGACTAGATACTCGTCTACAGCTGACTTAGCAACGGGGAACAGCAAGGGGTCAATAAGAGGAACATTCACTTTAGAAAAAGCCTGTGATTAAAGTTACCCGGGTTAGCAATGTGTTGTTGCCCATCTTCACAGCTATTTTGCCGTTTGCACCAAATGGAATCCTTTCAGAGGATAGTCAAGACTGGGTTTACTTTGCACTGACGTTTTTGTTTTGTTTTGTTGAGAGTGGAAAGCTGCCTCGGAAATGACTTCAAATACTGAAACAAATGGGTACACAGGTGACAGAGTCGCCTTACGTTGTTTGTCCCAGACTCCGTATATCAAAACACCTGGTCGTGGTCAGAACCTGTATCACTTCGGGCTGTCAGTTCGACCTGAGCTGACACCTGTGATAAAACTAACACATGACTGTTAACTGTACTAAACTAATGGCGTGGGTTCTTGAATTGCTCATTCTACATTCTAGGGAAACATGTCCTAGTGTTGTATGTGTTTTGGGCTGAAGTGGTTTGAACTTCATACAAAATGTCTTCACCTAAACTTCATCACTCTGGAGTTCTCTAGGGTGCAGTTGCCCGAGCTATCCACACCCCTCCAATCTGACCGATCATATCTGTCTTTACATATCTTTTAAAAAGCGTGTGTGAAAAAAGTAGGTTCGTCTCCTGTCGGAGGAAACAATTGACTTAAAGTAGTGGTCGAAAAGGTTAATCCCCCTACCATTCACTAGAGTTTTGTAACACATAACCTCCTCCCCATTTTGCAACAGATTACTGTAAAGCAAATCCTCCCTACATTTCACCAGATTACTGTAACACAATGTCACTACCTTTCACCAGATTATTGTTACACAAATCTCGCTACCTTTCACCTTATTACCAGAACACAAATTCTGCAACACATTGAAGTTACATAATTTCTCTCCACCTGTCATAAGATGACAGAATCGTCGGGCTCCGGTTCATCGCAGCAGTTTCGGTGTCCTGTATCACGAGTGGTAAGTGGTGTTGCGCGCCATAACGAATTGAACAGCTAGCAGACGTTTATCTGCCAACAAATCTCATGATTCCTTTATAATTACACATGGTAGAGAAGATATTTTGACCCACGATCGATACCTGGCTCTACATTCTCTTTCATTGTGTTGTAGACATGGCAGAGATATCCGGACAGAGGTACGCGGGTATATGATGACCCGGGGTCAGCAGACGACAGAGAGTGAGATCCAGGACCTGTGTTTGCCAGATCTCCCCAAGACCAACAGCGAGACAGCCGGAAGTGGCACGATCCCCTGTCATTCTGGCAATGGAAGTGAAGCTGACTCGACTTCCACTCACACATCAGACGACGTACCTGTATTAGATGGAGGATGGGGATGGGTGGTTCTTGTTGGGTGCTTCACCATCAACTTCATCTCAGACGGATGTGCCTACTCGTTTGGCGTGCTTTACACCGAACTGCTGGACTGTTTCCATGAAAGCAAGAGCAAGACGTCATGGGTAGGATCTCTGTTTTTCTCAGTTCCCCTTCTGTGTGGGCCAGTGTCGAGCGTCATCACGGACAGGGTGGGTTGCAGGACAGCCACCATTGTGGGCGGGCTCATTGCTGCCGCGGGCTTCCTCTCAAGCAGTTTCGTCCAATCAGTAGAGGCCTTGTATATCACCTACGGTATTGTAGCCGGATTCGGGATGTCCTTACCCTACCTCACATCCATCCTCATCATTAGTCAGTACTTTAAGAAGCGATTGGCATTCGCAACCGGTGTGGCTGAGTGTGGAGCAGGGGTGGGGACGATTGTATTTGCACCTGTCACAGCGGCGCTGTTCTCCACATACAGCTGGCGGGGCACCATGTACATCATGGCAGGCATCGCTGCCAACATCGTGGTGTGCGGAGCTCTGTTCAGACCGATAAAAGGCAAAACTCTCAGTACACGTGTGAAAAATGATTGCAAAAAATTAGAAACACGAGATGATGATACAGAAAGCAAACTTCTGGGACATGCGAGAGAAGCTCATGGAGACGATTTATTGTGTTGTGAAATTAATACTTGCCCTAATGGCGACATCATTTTTGCCAAACCAGCAACACAAGATACGACTATTGAAGGCGAGACGCTGTCTGACGCACACGTGCTTCCAAAGACTGAAAAGCCGTCCCAAGATGACACCAAACATAGCAATGATCCTCATCCCGAGTGTGTGTCTGCCTGTCATCGACGCCTCCGTGGACTCAGCACGTCGCTCCAGCTCACCCTCTTCACTCACCCCATCTTCCTTCTGTTCATCACCTCCAACTTCATCCTCTACTTCTGGTTCGACGTGCCCTTCGTCTTCCTGGCCAATAGGGCGGTGTTGTCAGGGATGACAGAGACCCGGGCAGCGTTGTTGGTGTCTGTCATCGGAATCCTCCACACCGTGGGCAACCTTGTGTACGGAGTAGCTGGAGACATGCGTAGACTCAGTCTTCCTCTGTTATATGGCGTATCGATATCTTTATGTGGCGTGACTTTATTAGCAGTTCCTTCTTCATCAACGTTCCTACCTCTGGCGTGTATGGCTGGTGTGTTCGGACTCCTGTCTGCTTCCAGCGAGGCGCTGAGCTCCATCCTCCTGATCGACATCCTTGGCGAGGCAAGTCTCAGTCAGAGTTACGGCTTCACAATGCTGCTCAAAGGGATTGCCAACCTTGTTGGACCACCAGTTGCAGGTATGGTATACTACATCATTAACGGGATTGGTTCTTGCTTGATAAGCGAAACATGTTAACATGGATAGTACCGGATATATCTTCTATGGAGTATAACGGGTATCCTCTGTTTGCATATTTATCGCCTTTAGTTTGAAAAAAACCCTAATACGTAATTAATATACCTTATGACTGATCATATTTTACAGATAGGTTTTCTCTATATTCTTCTAATCAGACATGTTAAGCTACTATGGAAGCATGCAGTGTCATCCATGTCGCATTGGCGTATAGAGGATTTCGACAGAGATAGTATTTCAGAGCTTCAGATCTCGCGGTATTATACGTCCCTGTTCACCTATTTAAAGACCGACTTGTGTTCTAGTGGTTAGGGCGTCGGGGAACTGAAGGTCGGAGGTGTTACCTTGCCTGGCACTAGGCATTAAGGGGAAAACAACCACTAGTCGTGTTTGAGTCAGTACATGTTTTGAGTCACATTAGCTACAAACGTATGGTAAATCCTACCTGTGCTAACTACGTACTTTACCTATCTGTTTTAGGGTGGCTGTTTGATGTCTCTGGTAGCTATGACAACACTTTCTACGCAGCCGGAACCTGCCTGGTGATAGCTGGGCTGATGTACACGCCGACGCCTCTGCTAAGACGATGTAGCAGGTGTCGTCACGCTGATAAAAGCAGACTGAAGTGAATAACGCCAGTAGCCATGTATGGCATCTCGCTGCCAAGTACACCGTGAAGTAGCTGGAGCAATACCGTCACTCCGGCGGCGTAGACGTCGAGGTCATTCCACTAGTAGATACCAGGATAGATGATACTCCGGGTCGGGTATATATGTACTGTAAGGGGTTGGAGAGGTTGTAGGGGTCAGAGGGGTTGAGGGTCAGTGTACTGTTGCCACGTCAGTAGACGGTAGACGGTAGGCGGTAGACCAAGCAATTATCAATCTATCAAACAAACAACCAGGCTCTAACCAAGTACATTTGATTCAAGTCATCCATTTACTGTACACGTTTTCTAGTTTAGTGTTTGTGTCAGTCTGACTATGATCTGTTACTCTACTTACACTATTTCACCGTCACACAAGACGGTAAAAACAAAATCCAAGTACTGCGTTAACGTTGGACACAAGTGTGTCAGTGAGCACATCATCATGACGTATCACCGTAGTCAAGGCAGCTATCGGATCGGCGTATGGTTCACGCTGTTGCCGGCAGACGAGGACCTGCCGCCACTAACATCACAAATGACACAGACTACAAAACGACAGCTTTAAACTGTGATGAAGGAGCAGAGACACTTCGATACAAGTTATCTAACTTATCCGAGTCCTCACAATGACCTTTTTCATTGTCTGAGGGCATGAACATGCACTGGTAATACACTACCTCATCACACAATACGGGATGCAATACAAACAATACGACATATCATTACACGAGATTCCGGACACAATAACTTTTGACAATATGAGTATTTTTGTAATAAAATTTATGAATAACTATAATTTGAGATGTTTTTATCAATAATTGAAACTACGAGGTTCAAGCTACAAGTTTGCAATCCGGATTAATCGTTATTTACAGGGATTCCAACGATTCATCCGGATTGCAAACTTGTAGCTTGAACCTCGTAGTTATATGTTTTTGTGTCAAAGTAGCAGTCACTTCCGATAATGAGGCACACGCGATGGATGCTCCACTTGCCTGTATATACACTTGTTTATTACAGCCGTCCGGTAGGTTAGTACAAACTACTAATGCTGGTCATAAGAACTGACTCAGTGAATGGGGATGTCACGGTCGGTGATTTGGAGGATGTCTACTATCATATCCCTCGCGTCATGGTTACTCACGATATCAGTGGCTGGTGTGTCTGGCACAGACTTCATTATTAACCTGTCGCTGGTATAATCGTAGAATTGCCCACTGCGGTGCTAACCATACTCGAGTTAGCCATGTCTACCCCATACTGTGTACCCTGATTAGAGATGCACCCTTTAGCCTGCTAATAACCCTCAGTAAAATCCCGGGACGGTACGGTAGCCTAATGGTTAAAGCGTTCACTCGCCAGGCCACCGACCCGGGTTCGATTCCAAACATGGGTACAATGCGTGAAGCCCATTTTTTGGTGTTCCTCCGTCGTGCTATTGCTAGAATATTGCTAAAAGCGACGTGAAACCATGCTCACTCCGCTTGTGTCTATGTTTCACAGCATCATACTGTGCTTACTGTGCTTACTCACGCTGTGCTTACTGTTTTACTTCGGCTAAGTATATGACCGAACAACTGTTCAAAGGGCGGTAAACCCAACACCTGCGAATTCTGTACCTTCTGCTTGCTTCAGCCTACAGTTCACGGTGTGTGTGCCTACATAAGCTATCTGGTATCACAACACTCGTATACTTATGATCGACCTATGTCGCTGCCATGACATCTATGCCTTGACCATCATACACACAAGAACAATAATTGAGGACAATAATATTTTTTCATTCAAAACATGCAATCATACTGTCATGGTGACAACTACCTATGCCAGGTAACTAATGGAAACTAACTAGAAATGCAAAAAAGTCCAAACATCGATAACACAACAGTCTCGTTTCCTGCTGACTGGGTTCCGTGCTATTGCGCAAATTAGAACAATAACCAGTCCAGAATTTTCAGACCAATTCATTTAACTGGATACATAATTATTAATCAGCATTATCTGATACATCTAAGCACTTGTATATTGCAACACTACGCTCCTTCTAATGCTTACAAACACGTCGTGCAGCGTGCTTCTGACAAACAGAAATCGTTAAATCGGGGGAAATCTCAAAACGAGTCTCGGCCGCTAGAAAAGTTTGGCGGTCTGGTACGGACCTCATATTATATCAATCACATTGTACGTTACAACAATACACTTAATAAGCATTCTCAGTTAGTATTCTCAGTGGTGAGGTACCTACATCCTTCAAAGCCGATGTGGTGAAACCTTTGATCAAAAAGTCATCTTTGGACCCGCAAGTACTAAAGAATTATAGACCTGTGTCAAATTTAAACTTTCTTTCAAAGATCTTGGAGAAGGTGGTAAAAACACAGCTACTTGAACACCTTGAAGACAACGACTTATTGGAGAAGTTCCCGTCCGCGTATCGAGATGCTCATAGCACAGAAACAGCTCTGAACTATGTCTTGGATAGAATCAGAATGTCTGTTGATTCTGGCAAGGTTGCAATGCTCATCTTATTAGACTTATCGGCAGCGTTCGATACTATCGACCACCAGAAGCTCATCGATCGTCTACAGCGCACCAGTATGGGATACGTGGAAATGTTCTGCAATGGTGTTCCTCATATCTGACAGGGAGGACACAATCCATTCTTATCAACAAGACAATGTCAGACAAGCTCCATCTCTCCTGTGGTGTTCCCCAGGGATCGGTGTTAGGCCCAGTGATGTTCACCATGTACACCAGGCCCTTGGGACAGCTCATCCGGGATCGTGACACAGAGCACCATTTTTTACGCTGATGACACTCAGCTGTCTGACAGTTATACTTTAGACCAGGATAACCAGTCATTGACATGTCTGAAAATGGAACAATGTCTTTCAGATGTCAGATCATGGATGACATCAAACAAGCTGGTGCTAAATGATGATAAAACCGAGGCTATCCTTATTGCTCCGAATTCCCGACTACAGAAATGCCAGGTTCCTAACATCAGGATTGGAGATACAAACATAGTGTTTTCCCCTGTGGTAAAGAATCTTGGTGTTTATCTAGATTCAGGTCTCAACATGGAGCAACACGTCACTCATGTGTGTCGTTCCTGCCACTTCCATCTCAGGAACATTGGAGCCATCCGCCATCTCTTAACAACTGATGCTGCTGCCACTCTGGCAAGATCCCTCATTTTATCCAGGCTGGACTATTGCAATAGTCTTTGTGCAGGCATCACTTCTGAACAACTAGACAGACTTCAGAAGATCCAGAACAGCGCAGCAAGACTTGTCACTAGAACCAAATCCAGATGTCACATATCTCCCATACTAAAGTCACTCCATTGGCTTCCCACCCGCGAAAGAATAAAATTCAAAACGCTGTCTCTTGTATATTCAGCACTAAACTGTTCATCGCCCTCCTACATGCAAGATCTTATAACACCCTACACTCCAGCGCCGGTCTCTCAGATCTCAAGACAAAGGTCTTCTCAGTGTCCCAAAATACAAGTTGCAAACTTTTGGCGGCAGATCTTTCAGCGTTCACGCAGCTTCCCTCTGGAACTCACTACCTCTCCATGTCAAGTCATCTCCTTCCATCTCCATCTTTAAATCAAGACTCAAAACATTCTTGTTCAACCACAACTAAATCTTATAACACTTCTTCCTGTATATAGTGTACATATTTACTGTTGCGCAAAGAGCATGCCCTTGAGGTGTGGAGTTACTACGGCGCTCTACAAATGTCCATATTATAATTATTATTTATAAGCGTAAAGAACACATAACAGGTGTAACCAGTGAGCCAGATGAATTGTGAATCATTGTACGAACTCTTCAAACCTCGACATAAAATATAGAAATACGATGTTTTTAAACTTTAAAATTAAAATTAATTTGTAAATACCATTTTCTGATGAAACAAGGAATTGGAATTTATTGTAACCATAGTTGTTTGTACTGTCTCTTTTCACTTTCACATAAGAAATTTCGGATCGGCTGAAAAGTAGGTCATTTTCTGAATTGGTTCATGAGACTCATGTTTCGGTTTGGCCAAAGGATGAGTGAGTGAGTGTCTGTAGCTCCTCCTACTTGGAGATTTGCAGCTGGGCAGTAGGAAACAGTTATTTACTTAAAATGTTAATTGGAGATGAAGAATAGTCCCACAAGGTGAAGCAGTTTACGGAGTGTTTACCTTTGGAGAAATGCATTCAACAGGTCGACAGATTCGATGGAGAAAGTGTCATGGTGTGGGGTGAGATAACCAGCACACAAAGATCGGATTTAGTGATGGTTCGGGGGGAATTTGACAGAAAATCGGTACATCAACGAAGTCTTTGCACGCCACATGCTTCCGATTATGGACCGACCGAGGGATACCTATGGGATGAAACTCGATCAATGTGTACGTAAACGTCTAAACAGGCGTCAGACAACTGGCCATCGAATTACAAGAAGAGTGGAGAAGAATTCCGCAAGAACGACTTCGTCGACTTATCCAGTCTGTACCGAGTTGCTGCCGAGAAGTAATTGCTGCCAATGGTGGCCATACAAAGTGCTGACTCTGACGCCATCTTGTGGACAGAAACACAACAATAAAGCCTGCTGTTGTGTTGGCGAACTGTTTGTTTATAGACGTGTGAATTTTCACCTTTTTACCATTGAAATTACATGAAATAATTGCTCTTAAACTAACGCAATAAATTCTTCTAAACCGACTAGAGTGTATCAGTAGCTATAACGGTATATACATTTCGGCAGTTAGACTGTTAAGTGACACATGACATGTTTCTTTGTCATCTGCAGATGAATGGCATATCGTTCCTGTATGTGGATATTGATGAATACATTCCTCGAATAAGGTAATAGCCTTATAGTATAGTTATAACTTTAGTCGGTATTAATTTTCATATTTGTATTTTGTTTTTATTCATCTGTTGTAGCATTCGGCAGAATCATTCCACTTCATTTTCTTTCGCCGTAAAAGTTCTTAGATGAGACAGGCACCATTCACCAGGTCGACGTCTCACTAGACTGTGTGAATATGAATCACGTTGGCAATCTATAAAATGTCTAGATATTTGTCTTGTTATAAATTCACTAAAACAGATCGTGTGTTCTTTATAAAGTTCCAAATGTATAAATACATCAATACATTTATTAGGAGTATAAGACAAAACTATAAAGACGTACATTGACTTCGATGTTTTTCAGTCCTAACATTTTGTATCAATGGCAGATGAAGTTCAGCTTCAAATTGTGTTCATTTGTTATCATAATAGTGAAAAAGACGTCATCTTTGTTGATCAATATAAAGATATACATATTATATTTATACTACCAATTGCGCTTGCGGGTGGCGCAGCAGAGATCGCAACCCAGCCAAGAATTCTGGGATATCATCCGGGTACTCGCGGGGAAAAACAATAACAAACGCAACAACCAGTCTCGGGGAATTGCTCTGGATCAGTGTCCCTTTAACACAACACATTAGATAATCGATCAAGTTGAACAAAACTGACGACAACGACACCTCAAAATACACCCCCACTTGATGAATGAATTCGGGTAATTAGTCTAATCACTCAAACAGAACAACAGCCGCCATACATATAACGAGTCATCTAAAAGCCAGCTCTACAGAAACACACAGATAACCACGATTAACTATCGCCACTTGGGTATGACAAATACCCTTATAAATCCGATAACTGCCAACAGAATTAAAGGACACTAAATATCACTGAGTGAGTATATGGGACCACGATAGCCTACTACACAGGCACTTGGCCCGAAATTACCTCTTGGTAAATAATGAAAGCACGTCTAATGAAGACCCTTTGGATTACTTGTAGTTGTTATACAATATTATCTGGTCATCATTTGATGTTATTCAATATACACTGTACTTTTGTTTTCGTGTTCTGATTGTAAAATGTGTTCATTATTGTGATGATGGTGTTGAAAGGATTTATTGTAAAATTATATTTGTAAAAGATAGTTGATGTCCAGACAAGGGAAGAAAAGCGTTGCTCCTCGCTATATAGGGACATTGGAAATGTTCACGTATGTGCACGTGAAGAGTCTGAGAAGAAGCGTACGTAAAAGGAGATAGAGATAAGGTGAATATTAACTGTAAATTTCGGTTTCTTTGATTCACTTTGATTCAAAATTATGTTTTCAACATGATTGCAATCACAAACACAAGTGTTACATAAGTGTCAAATGTCCGAACCAAACATACACATACATGACCAGCGTTGAGCAGATACTGCTGCGATGGCCATATATACAACATTGCTGATTCAGGTGCGTGTTTCGTGGAGTATGAACGTGAATATCAGAAGACCAGTGTCAATTTCCATTGCTAACGTTTTGCATACAATGCCTCATGCCAGTCACGTCCGTCAGTTGAGCGTGGTGTTTGAGGCGTATATGGGCATGGACGGCTTTATGAGACCACTGTCCGACTGTCGTGCACCACGTCAAGCATTTGAACGTCATGGAACCGGCACAGACGGAGGACGCCACTGGTCAGATTCGAGTGGAGAACAACGAGCCCCCCGATGAAGCACTGACTCTGTGTCCACTAAACAAAGGAAAGGGTGTGGAAAAATTACCAGCTTTCTGTACCGAACATGCGTTTTCATCTGATGAAAAACAAGATGGAAGCAGTGTCACTTTGCCCACAACGCACATTGACCCACCTGCATTGGTGGCATCGCTTCACGGAGAGAGAATTGAGCCATCTCATCAGGCAGGTAAGGGTAGTATCAAGTTTACATCAGAAAGAACTGACATCACTGATGTGGAATCATGTATCCCTAGTGGAGACGGTCGCTCTTCCCCAGCTACACTTCCAGTAGAGGAGATAGAACAACCAGCTACAGGAGAGTGTGATGGAGGTGACTCGACCCCGAAACCCCGGACATGCGGACCTTACAGGAAGTATCTAGTTGTAGTCGGGTCTTTCTTCTCCAATGCCATCCTCGAGGGGTCTTTCAATGCCTTCGGTGTACTTTACACCGACATTTGGAAACATTTCGGCGGGTCAAAAAGCAGTGTAGCATTAGTCGGTTCACTGTTCGTCTCTCTTCCTCTTATCGGCGGGGCTATGGCAAGTCTCGTCACTGTCAAACTTGGATGTCGGACCGCGGCCATGGTAGGTGGGGTCGTCACAGCACTTGGAATATTGGCTAGCGTGTTTGTACAGTCGTTGGGTCTGATGTACCTGACGTTTGGTTGTATTGCCGGGATAGGAGCTTCCTTGCCTTACCTGTCAGCCTCCGTTATACTTGGTCAGAATTTCAGGAGTAAACTGGGTCTAGCTTCTGGGATCTCGGAGTGTGGTGGCGGAATGGGGACGGTGTTCATGCCCATGGTGTTTGAGACACTGTTAGTGACCTATGGATGGAGAGGAACGCTCATGATTCTGTCTGCCATCGTGCTTAATGTGTGTGTATGTGGTGCCCTCTATCAGTCAATATCGCCTCCGAAAACCGAGAAAAACCGACTGAAAAAAGAAAAGTTTGAACAATTTGTCGGCGAAAGCACATATCCAAGGGAAAATATTTCACCGTATATTCTTCAAAGTTACTACAATGGCAGTGTTGTCACCACCGACAAAGAGAAAAACTTTGATTTTACCCAAGGAGATTGTTTGAAAGAAATCACGAAAGCCTGCTCTTCGAAGTTCAGCCTACATATTTTTACCAATTCCGAGTATATACTATACACTTTTGCTGTGTTTTTCTTCAACCTGTGGGTCGGTGTCCCATATGTGTACCTGTCTGACAAGGCCATAGAACACGGTGTGGATAAGGAGAACGCGTCCTTACTGCTGTCCATCATAGGTGCATCACAGCTAGTTGGCTGCCTCACAGCCGGGGCCGTTGTGGACAACAGGAAAATTGATAAGATCACCATGTTTGGTGTCACCTCAGCTCTATCTGGCACTGCCCTGGCACTTATGCCTCGATTCTCTACGTTCGCACCACTTGCAGTTTTGGCAGCAGTGTTTGGCTTGTTCTCTGCGCCTGTAGACTCCATGAGTCTGGTGATGCTGACGGATATCCTTGACTCGAAACAGCTCAGCTCCGGGTTTGGCTACATTATGACTCTAAAGGGCTTCGGGGAACTACTTGGCCCGCCTATTGCAGGTAGGTGGATGGTTATCAAGAGTATCAGGGTTGAACCTGCTTCAGATATGTGCCACTAAAAATAGTTTTCTTGGTTGCAAGAAACCCGTGAAGGTCCGGGTTCGAATTGGTCTTCAGAAACCCATGCTTGTTGTAAGAGGCGACTAGCGGGATCGGGTGGTCAAGCTCGCTGACTTGATTGACAAATGCCATCGTGTCCCAATTGCGTAGACCGATGCTGATGATGTTGATCACTGAATTGTCTGGTTCAGACTCGATCATTTACAGACCGCCGCCGTATAGTTGGAATATTGCATTTGCGGCGTTAAACAACCAACCAACTTGGTTGCAAGAGAGTGAATAGTAATTGAGGAAAGAGGGGTGTACTTGTTACTTGGCAACTTGTATCGGGTCTAAGAAGTGTTGTATTTAGCATTGCACTATCTTAATAGAGAACATACTCCAGTCATTGTTTAGGTTCAGTTGCATCCTCGATTCGAACCCATACACACAGAGAAGCACCAAGTCGCCAGCGTATATAGTATTACAGTTGTTACTGTACTTAGAAAGTGTAATCCAAGTATACCGTTTGTTACGTGTGACCACTTTCTGAAAGACATTGTGTATTCACAGCTTTCGGTCGTGGTAGCTGCGCCAATTTACACTTGTCAGGAGGTGCGTGGTTTAGGCTATATATTGTCGGATTTCTATTTTTGGATAAGATCGCAAGCTTATCAGCAATGATATATTCATCGGAACAACTATCCATTTCAGTCACGTACAATCGAAACGAGACAGAAGATGAAAACAACGTGACAGTTTTTCAGATAACAACCTTTTTTGTGTGGATAACAGTTATAGTATGACCAGAAATGATTGAGAATTTTAGGAATATGTTTAATTGGATTTCTAGTATAAACAACCGTGACCAGCTATCAAGTGCTTGGTTTCATTCAAGAGAGACAACTCCGTTAATCCTTTTTCATTAGTTTGTGAAGAGTCATCCTCCTTTGTTTACTTGCTAGCAGACGACATTTTCAGTGATCCTCAATATGGATGATTTAGAAAACAGGAAGTTGATTTTAGAGTATTATAACAAGGACATCAGACCAGCTAAAGTGATTTCAAGTAGAACAGGCATCCCTTTGTCCACTGTTTATCGTGTTTTGAAAAATATTGCAAATTGATATGGCACTGATCAAGAGAGAGGCGCAGGTAGGCCCAGAAAATTTACTGTCGGTGACAGGAGGCGGCTTGGTATTCTTGTTTCTAAAAGCAAACGAAGGAGTTTAGAAAACTTATGGCTGGATATGATTGATAGAGGAACTGTGGCTGTCTGTAAGGAGACACTTAGAACTGAGCTGCATGCAATGGGTTGGCAGAAAAGTCGAGGAATTCCATCACCGATCATGAAACCTGAACATAAGGAGCGAAGGTTGAACTGGTGCTTACAACATAGAAATTTTATCTGGGACAATGTGATTTTCTCAGATGAAAGTTCTGTGTGGCTGTTTTCTTATACACTGAAATTCTGGACCAGACAAACTGAAAAACCTTTGTATCAGCGCCCAAAGTACAGTCCGAAATTTAACGTGTGGGGTGGCATATCTGTGTTAGGGGCAACGCCCCTCTGTGTATTTGAAGGGAATATGAACAGTGAGCGGTACACAGATATTCTCGAGGGACATTTACTTCCATCTGCTCACTTGTTCTATGGACATTTCTGGATTTTCCAGCAGGACAACGACCCAAAACATCGTTCAAAGCATTCACAGGCCTGGTTTCGGAACCAAAATATGACATTATTAGATTGGCCAAGCTATAGCCCTGACCTAAATCCAATAGAAAATGTTTGGGGACTTATGAAGGAAGGTGTCAATAAGAAAAATCTGACAAATATTGCTGAAATGAAAGAAGAGGTGGTCCGATATTGGGACAGCATGGACCACAACTTTCTAACTTCTTTGATCAGTAGTATGCCCCGCCGCATTGAAACCTGCATTGCTGCCCATGGTGACTTGACAAAATACTTACTGTTCACCTATCTTTGAATCTGGAGTTATGTTCTGCTAATATTCACATTTAATACGTGAGTAATGAGTGAAAGAAAAAGAAATTTACAATCTTTAAATTCTCAATAATTTCTGGTTGTACTGTACTTCATTCTTTGTATGGAAGAATCTTCGTCCCGTTATCAATGACCCGTATCGAGAAATAACAAAAATATATACATCTTTACATAAAGTAGTAAATTGACTGAGTATAAACGACAAATGACATGGCCATTTGTTGTGTTAAGCCGTAATTTGGGTCGACAGACACATGTGGTTGTTGACGGTGACGTATGCGCCGTCCAAGGATAGCCTGACATGTTCGATGGGTGACAAGTCTGGACTGAGTGCTGGCCATGGCAAGGTGGTCATGTTCATCTGTTGGAAGTACTCAGTACCAATACGAACATTGCTTACTCTTGCGTTTTCATCCTGAAACACAAACCACAATGTCCACGTCGGCAAATGGCACCACGCGTGCCTCCAAGGTGTTGTCACGGTAGTACTGCCTCCAGGGTGTTGTCACGGCATCACTGCCTCCAGGATGTTGTCACGGTAGTACTGCCTCCAGGGTGTTGTCACGGCAGTACTGCCTCCAGGATGTTGTCACGGTAGTACTGCCTCCAGGGTGTTGTCACGGTAGTACTGCCTCAAAGATGTTGTCAAGGTAGTACTGGCTCCAGGATGTTGTCACGGTAGTACTGCCTCCAGGGTGTTGTCACGGTAGTACTGCCTCCAGGGTGTTGTCACCGTAGAACTGCCTCCAGGGTGTTGTCACGGTAGTACTGCCTTCAGGATGTTGTCACGGTAGTACTGCCTCCAGGATGTTGTCACGGTAGTACTGCCTCCAGGGTGTTGTCACGGTAGTACTGCCTCCAGGATGTTGTCACGGTAGTACTGCCTCCAGGGTGTTGTCACGGTAGTACTGCCTTCAGGATGTTGTCACGGTAGTACTGCCTTCATGATGTTGTCACGGTAGTACTGCCTCCAGGGTGTTGTCACGGTAGTACTGCCTCCAGGGTGTTGTCACGGTAGTACTGCCTCCAGGGTGTAGTCATGGTTGTACTGCCTCCAGGGTGTTGTCACGGTAGTACTGCCTCCAGGGTGTTGTCACGGTAGTACTGCCTCCAGGGTATTGTCACCGTAGTACTGCCTCCAGGGTGTTGTCACGGTAGTACTGCCTCCAGGGATGTTGTCATGGTAGTCACGGTAGTACTGCCTCCGGGATGTTGTCACGGTAGTACTGCCTCCAGGGTGTTGTCACGGTAGTACTGCCTCCAGGATGTTGTCACGGTAGTACTGCCTCCAGGATGTTGTCACGGTAGTACTGCCTCCAGGGTGTTGTCACGGTAGTACTGCCTCCAGGATGTTGTCACGGTAGTACTGCTTCCAGGGTGTTGTCACGGTAGTACTGCCTCCAGGATGTTGCGTGGACGATGCGTGTCAAAAATGTTTGAGCTTACAACAATATCAGAACAAACAACTGTAAGTCTGTATTTTTATCACTGATCTGTACAGCAACATACTGACACGTTTCACAGTAAAGTGAGTTTTACCCCGACCATGTTCAGGTGCACATCATGACATACGCTTGCACGAAATTCATAACACGTCGTCAATGGAATAATCATTTTCTAAATCCCTATAGAATCATACAAATTTGGCAAAAATTATCAAACCAAAGTAAAATATTTCCCACAAATAGTACTTAAAGTTGATACAAATCATATGTACATTTGTACCATCACTGTACGCGTACCAGTCTAATATATTGTTGACGCCATAAGAGGCTGAATATGACGTAAGGTCAGAATAACATCATTATTAAAAAGGACGACTTTGCTGAAGATCGATTCGACGATTGTAATTTCTAAGACGGCAGTCGTGAGGAGTGTTGTGTTTTTCTAAAGGGGTGCTCGAAAGGATTCAGAAACAATAAAACAGGTTTCACACTCAGATTATCAGATTGATTTAACGAAACGAGTGAAAGAATGGATGTATTACTCTCGGTCTCAATCGAAAACTGGAAGATACCGGTTTCGCTATTTCTTACGAGGTGGGGCCACTCGCTGGTAGAACAGCCAGGTGTGTGAGTTGCACGTGTGGTGTGCGAGTTGCACGTGTGAAATTGAAATTTCACTGCACACGCTTGTTGATTACCTGGCTGTTCTACCCTCAAGTGGTCCCCTCGTAAAAAAATAGCGAAAAGTGACAACAAAATAATAATCGTTTGTTAAACAACTTTTTTATTCGGGTGTCCAAAATTATTAGACAAATCATCAGAGTTGGTCTGTCGATTTCATGTGACTGTGCAAAATTTGAGTTTGTTGCTATTATTAGATTTTGTGTTAGTGAGCAATCCATCGGTCTCAGATGAAATCAAACGGACTGTACCCCAAGGTAAAAAATAGTGACGCATAAAGATAATAAAATACTAACACTCATCCCGTCGGGGTCCAACTGTACTCTTCTCCTTGACAATCTGTTCCTTTGTGCACTTTAATAAGAAGTTCCACTCGGTTTGGCAAAATCAAAACAAGAACTTGAAATGAAGGAAACCAGTGAGACTGTGTGCTCCATATACTACTCAAAAAAAGAAACGCATAACACAGATTTTCAGGTCTAGTCTCTTTAGGATGAATCACAAACATTAATTACTTCAATATTTTGTTAACCAAAACCTCCTTGACCCCTTGCCGAGTTTGAATCTCTTGGTGCAGAAAACGATCGATGAAACGCAACCCAAACCGATTTTTAGGAATAAATGTCACATAAGACACGGGTTAACATAAATTAACGTTTTTGTCGGACACGTGCACTTCGTGTACGATAGGCAATAAACCCCCCCGGCTCTGACCATGTTAGTGACAGTTTTTTAAAAGTGTAGTTGCCGTGTAAAGTCATGCCTAGACTTACTGGGGCTCCACGAAATAATGCGTTTGGACATTTGGAGGCTGGTGAATCACACTCTGCGGTGGCAAGGCGCCTACACGTATCCCAGAACACAATAGGAAGACTGTGGTATCGTTTTCAACAGCATGGGACCACACGGGATAGACCGCGCGTTACCACGCCCACCTAAGATAGATTCATCCGTTTACGGCACTTACAAGACTGATTCCTTACGGCATCCTTTACCACAAACTCATTGCCTGGGCTCCGGAGAATCTCAGACCAGACAGTTAGGAATCGTCTACGTGACGCCGGTATTCGTCCCAGAAGACCAGCACGAGGAGTCATCCTCACTCGACAACATCATCTTCTACGACGACAATGGTGTGTCCACCATCAGCCATGGCATATACAGAGATGGAGAACTGTCATTTTCAGTGAAGAGTCACGGTTTATACTGATACGTCTAGACGGGAGATCACGCGTGTGAAGACGACTTCATGAACGTTTTTCGGCAAACTGTGTTCAGTTAGTCGACAGATTTGGCGGGAATAGTGTTATGGTGTGGGCGGAAATTTCATACAGTGGTAGGACAGATCTTGTTCAAATTCAGGGGAATCTCACAGCTCGACATTATTGTGATGAGGTCATCAGGTCACACGTCATTCCGTTCATGAACAGACAAAACGTCATTTTTCAACACGATAATGCCCGACCACACAGCAAGGTTGACTACGGTGTTCCTGGCACAGAACAACATTCAGGTGATCTGAACCCGACTGAACACTTGTGGGACGAACTGGATAGACGTGTCGTCGACGTCATCCACAGCCACAGACTCTTCCTGATTTGTTTTTGGCGTTGCGAGACGCCACCCAGGCCTGTCATCCAGAATCTGATTCTGTCCATGGGTAGACGGTGTCAGGCTGTGACTGACTCTAATGGTGGTCATTATAGTTACTGATTTCGTCTGACCTTGACCTTCATTTACAGTGCGATTTACTGTTTATCTTGTCTACACTGACTGCTGTAATGATTGCAGTAACTCTGTCCCATGTGCATGTCATGTGATGCTCATATTTTCACATAAAACATTGACAACAATGTGTGCTATGCGTTTCTTTTTTACTACATTAAATCTGTGCATGAAGATTCACAAACTCTCCACTAGGACGGGCAAGAGGGATGATTTCAACCTTCCAGTAGCAAACTTTCCCTTTCCGACACATCATTCCAGTAGCTGCAGCTGTTGGTATTCACAACTCTTGACGTACAACCAAGCATGCTCTTTTTCTCTCAGATTTGAAAAAGCAGCAAACCATTCTTGCTCAGAGGTTGTTCAAGGTTGCAACACTAAAGCTTTCAAAACGTTTTATGGTAGATATATGGAGCAGACTTTAAACTTTGAACGACTCTGCATTTGGCAGATTTCTTATGGGAGAGGAAAAGAGTTTTGTCACAATTATTTACATGCACGTATTTGTGACAGGCGCTACCGGTGGGGCAGGTGACGATTACCTGTTTGTAAACACTTGGTATAATACTATTCGGCGGATCCAGAAAGGGAGCGCCCCCCTTCATAATCTATGGTCATCCCCCTTCTCCAAAATCCGGGATCCGCCCCTGCTATTGTAGGGCGATTCATTAACCATTCTCATGATATAGTCAGTATCGTTCGATTGACTCTGGTCTTGGCAGTGATTTCTTGTGGGTGTGGATAGGGTTTTGATCCTTATAGAGACAAGCATATGGAGTATGAAACAATACCTTTCTTTCATTCATGCACTATGGCAAGACAACCTGTGACAAAGTATTTGGGCAACGTCGAGGCACGGGCTTAATTTGACGTTAGAAAGCAGTATACGGTACACAGATTACGCAGTATATGAAAAAAAAAACATTATTCAGATTAAAAAGTTAGTGAATGATAACCATGACTGATTGAACAACCTTATCTGAGCTATTCAAACGTGACAATCGGCCTTTGTTATATTTGAGCGTGGAAGTTATACTCCCTTTAAAGTTTACGCTTAGTGCAAAACAAGAGCAGATACGTACTATCTGATACAGCCAATAAGTGGCGTAAAGCCAGATTTGCTCATTACTATCCAGTAATGTATTTCCAAGTGTTAACACATGTGTGTGCGTGTTTGACAGGACTGCTGTATGACGGATCGGGGAATTATGACAACACCTTCTATGCCGCTGGAGGAAGTATGATTGCGTGTGGTGTGCTCTACCGTCTACTCTCCAAGGTGAAGGTCGGACGTTGCACTCATCTCTCTCCACGAGTTGCTGCTGACGCTCCAGAAGTCTTCTTGAAATGATGTTGGACAGTCAGCACCGAGGGATACGTACTTACACCACGATCCAGGCGTCGTCAGATACCTGTCATCGCATGCAACCTTCCTTATCCAATGATTTCAGCACGTTGCACTTGTAGATAGTCGGTTTTACACACACCATTTAGGGGGTTATGGTCTCATAAATAAAACGGTGAAGCACGGTTGATATTTTGTATACATTTAGCTAGCAGATTATATGATTATCACGTTTGCGCATGCTATAAACAAGACTGTCAGTTTTTGTAGCCATTCTGTACAAACCAAAACATACCAAAAGAGCTATGATTACACAATTACATTTAGAAAGTGGTCAAATGTAACATATGTTATATTTACACTTATCAGAGGGGCACACAAAGTCAGCAGGAAGTCGCGGTGACTGAGCGTGTTAGGGGGCTGACTTTGTGTGCTGGCGATTGGGTGCCTGACTCTGAGGGTGTGGGTTCGAACTCCAGGTAGGACTCAACCCCAAAAGTACTAGAATTTGTAGTTTACAAAGAAAGGGTAATCCCAAATAGAACATATGTTATACCAAAAGAGACCCAACCATTGTCATATTCAGTTAATAAGTAACAACTTTCGATCAGTAAATCCCAAAGTCGAGCTTGGTGTCCTGGGAAACCATAATGAAGAATCCAGAAAGATACAACAGAGGTTAATTTCAGTATGGTGGTTTCAAGGAGATATTTTCAAACATATTCACGATATATTGAAGGAAGATCATTGGTAGGATAAATAGAATTTCAACTAGTAGTTTTAGAGGATTGTGGAAGTCATCTATCTTTAAAAGAGCTCTAAGTGCATGACCTATGCCCTAGGTCGAATAACAAAATGTGACTGGCATCAAACGCTGCTAAAATATGCCAAAGTCTGACAGTTGGAAGAACTGATGTCTTACTGCATGTATAGTTACGCATGGATTAATTCAGTGTACTTCACTGCAAATGGCGAAATGAGAGGTTGAACGAAACTTAATCGCAGCAGGACTGAAAAAAAAAACGACACAGAGACAAAATCGTCTCATTAATTGCACAACATCTACCGTTACATCCCTTTCCTAGGCAGCCCTCCTGTGAACATAGAGTCTTGTGGAGGGTGCTGCTCACACAGACCACCATATTCGGCAAAGATTTGGATGGGCTGGGTAAAAAAAATAGGGATGGACTGTCAACTGATGGCGTTATATTGTATTTACAGATGAACTAAGGCTTTGAATACACAATGCCATTTAGAACAAAGATGACTGAAAACTCTAACTCTGGGTGGTATGCTAGGACTGCAATTCTTGACCCCGATATGGATGGATGTGGTTGTGTTATTGTGTGGGGTTGCATCACACATGAAAGGTGAACTAAACTGGTTATTGCGAATGGACATTTAACTGGCCAGCGATATGCTGACGAAAATATAAGTCCTGTCGTTGTTCCATTCGCTGGAAGTATCAGAGAGTTCGCACTGCAAGATGACAATGCCATATCCTATCGTGCCAATGTCGTCAACGATCATCTCCGATGAGAAGGCATGCTGACATTGGACTGTTCCGTCCTGACATCTGTGAGACCTCCATACGCGGACAGTGTATGCAAGAGACCCCGCACCGCCAACGTGGATCACGCTGAGGTAGGTTTTCGGGCAGAATGGCGGGAAATATTGAGGGCATTCAAACGCAATTTTATCAACAGTATGCCACGAAGTTGTGGTTCATGTATTGCCCAACACAATGTTGTCCTACAGGCTCGAAATGAATTCTAATCAGTTATCATCATAACTTCTCCCCTCTCATTTTATCAGTGCTCTGATGTTTTTGGTCAGTAGTGAGTGCGTATTCCTGAGTCCAAGGTCAATGTATTGTACAAATCTTCCCTCACTACTGTCACACTCACCCTCAAGCATGCGTGCAGGCACACAATTCATAAGGGTTAAGGAACTACACCAAGACATCAGACAATGAATAAAAAAGGATAATGATGAATGAACATTCTAGACACTGCAACACCACTGCTAGTGGTAAAAAACAAAATAAAGCAGGCTGCCTTCAAAGTTTATTCTCATGAGACAATAAAACGTGTAGTAAGTATTGTACAGGGATAAGCAATTGGATTTCAAAAGTTGAAGTGAAAAGTTAGAAATAGAGATAACACAGCAAATTGTTTATATATTCTCATAAACAACCTGGTTAAATAAAATGTCATACAAGTCATACTGCTGAATAACAAGACACGCTATTGTCATCCACAAGTACATTATGCCCCCTCGGGTACAAAATAATAAAATAACAACACTAAAACAAATATAATAAACATGTTCAACAACTTTGATGCATAACAAAATCGTTCTGCTTCTCACACTGTCAGCTCCCTGTGTTCCTATGCCCTGTGTCCATTGTACCTATGCCTGTAACTTATGCCCTGCCTGTCTTTGGCCTGCCCCTCTTAAACTTCTATATGACGATCCTAGCATTCCTCTCTTCCAGACAGTCATTTATTGCTCAGATCAATGTGTGGAACAAAGCCCTGTTATCAACTGTGCTGAAGTTGGTGAGGTAGAAAAAGCTTTACTGCTTCTAATTTTTATGACAATTCCATTCAATGACACACAAAATGGACATACCTTTACGACTATTGTTACTTCAATATCTTAAAATAGTCTCATAACCAGAAACAGAAGGTGTGTATGTATGTTTGTAAAGGTACCTTCATTTCAACCATATTTTCATAGAACACTCCACTTCAATGAGTTGTCACTGGTAAACTCTACATTTTCTCTATGGCTAACTATGATAACCAGGGCTATTCATCTGTATCATTCACTGATGGCGTTGGCATTAGAGGGGATGTACAATATATTCCAGGCAGACCAGGTACGGGACCTTCTAGGAACAGGGAGGTACAGCATGACAGTTTTATGGGTACATCAGGATTGCTTAACACACAACTATGCAGTGATAGAAAAAATACACATCTGGCTTCGTAAGTCATACTTATCTCGCTACGCGGACATCACATAACATGAGTCGTCAGATCTGTGATGTGACGCTTGACCAGCACTCTAACATGAATACATCTTATAATCACATCGCCTTCTGGGCCATATCACAGCTCCGCTTGAGACAAAAGCACTCTGGGTGTCTCACTCGGACTGTCACCGTACATTCAGTTTCCAGCTAAGCAACTGGACAACCTACATCTGCTGATGCACTAAAGACAATGACTGCTTGAGCAACAGCCATGTCCACTCCAACAAAACATTATCAAAGGTATATTTCAACAATTTAGCCAAGCTAATGAGATAGCAGTACATGCAAGTTATTTTGCAGGCAAATTCAGACAAAACTCAAGAGGCCTGTGCTAGTTATATAACATGCAGAGGCTTATTGAGGTGCAGGCAATAGAGCATTTCATAGAGGGGATCTCTGGTATCACAGCAGCAGGTGAGCAAGCAAAGGAGACGTGGCTAGTGCTGTTCAAGCACTGAGTGTGGCAAGAGATGACCAAGCTGCAGGCATATATGGTTAAGGCAGTAAAGTAGCATTATTGAACACTTCACAGTTTCAGCAAGGTCACAAAATACTTAGCTATCTGATCATACCCTAAAATACTGCAATACATCATATTATGCTCATAATACTTTCTCTGCCTCTAGTTTGTATTTTTATGGCTCAGTACAAAATGCCAACCAAATTTAAGATAACCAGACAGTGTGATACAGACTTGTTATGCCACTGTAAGATTTCCATTTCCCAGTAGAGAGTTATTACAGAACAGTTCATGATGTATTGTTCAGTGGCACTGTATGTTCAAACTGACCAGACATGGCACTTAACCAGCAGTGAAAGCAAAGGCAGACAAACTTGTACATTGGAATGACCTATTCTGTAATACATTCACATCATAACACAGCTTCAGCTCTGAAGGCAAGATACCGTGACAATTTCCTGAGACATTTCTTATCCATGTAGCCGACATCCTGATGTCATCTATCAACAATACAACCATCAGTCAGATCTACAGCCAACTTCATCACACAGATCTATCCACTATCAACCTCTAACAGTCCACACAGCGTGTCACATCACTAACATGTTCCACCAGATGTCTCACTTACCGATCCACAAAAACACATGGAAAACACGAAAATCACTGTATTTCAATGCTTCACAGAGAGCCTAGGAATAGAAATAAAAGAGACACCAAAGATAAGAACATAATTTGATTGGAGATATGCTCAACTGCTGGTCTATTATTATCAATGAAGTTATTATGTCAAAATGTATTTTTGTTCAACCCAAGAGCGCCTTTTTCCAAAGCCAATTGACCAAAACTTGACCCCGGTGTACAGCTTGAGTAGCTTAACTTCCAGTTTATCAGTTAACACAACACCAGTGTAAAATCTGTCTTATATAAGATTATTTTTTACAAAGCTATGAAAGGGTTCCCGTTGTACTTTCAATGCTAGACTTTTCTCTAAGAGTCTCATTTCACAACAATATTGACCCACTTCCTACAGCTGTGAAAACTGACATTGAGGGACATGTTGAATACAAAAGTTAGTCAACTATCGAGCTCAAGCATCTACACAGAGCCATTGACGTTTTAAAGAAGATTTGCATTTGTAGTTGAAATGCAGCTCTAATCACTCAAGAAATCACACTTACTCAAAGATTCAAACAGCTCTATGTTTTACTGATATTCTTCATTTGATTATCATCACACCAGTTAGAACAGTTCACAACATAGTTTAGACATTTTCTATAGTATTCTGAACGAGTTGAAGCAAACTATAAGGGCAAATGTACATGCACATCAATAGTAATACCTCCGTGATTTCTGATCTACATAACAAGCTAATGCTCTGATGTTTTTCCGCTAATCATTTTGGGTCTACAGTTAGACAACCCCAGCAAACACAAATTCATGTGATATCCTACATAAGGAAAAATACCCATTTCATGGAATACACAATTCTCCAACACATGCACATGGTTTAACCAGACTGAATATAAGACGGCCCAGGTTACAAACACAGAAAGATAATTCAAACAACAAGTAACTGAATAACTGTTTCAGACAACTCTCTTCCTTGAGTGCTGCTGAAAACCTTGTTGGTCTGGGAGGACTGTTTGGAATTAACTCACTGGGGGGAACTGATATCAGAATACCTGTGTCTATGTCTAAACAAACGTGTATTTAGCCAACAAGTTAATTTAAAAAGACAATAAATCTCAAAACGCATTTTCAAAACATCCAGTGAATTTAGATAAAGAACTCGAATGCAAGATGACATATACCAACGTTCAACAGTGATCAGTTACAAACAACTACGAGACTTATACTCTCTTTCTGGGTGTCAGAAAACCTAAAGTGACCAACACTCTCACATGCAGAGCTAGTCAAACAACTGAGGTGACAGCACATGCATGAGATGATATTGTAATATTTGTAAAATATGTAAATAATATATACAGAAACTACCTCCCTAATATTCACACAGTACTACTCTAGAATGTGCATAATATGAGTAGAGATAAAATAACATGGAATTCAAAACACACAGAGTGAAAGATGTCACATACGAGTGTGACAGAAAAACTGTATCAGATTATGTTAAAGGTGCATGTATTTGTCTTCCCTGGCCTAGGTTGTTTTTTTTTGCATATTCTGAATAGAGAAATATTTCTTAACACAATGTTTAATTCCTATACAAAACATGCCACTGATCATGATGTAGCTGTATTTATACAAGCTCTCGACACTGAACTATAGTTCCTCTCCACAGAGTCTAACACGTGCATCCTTCCACCGACTAGAACCTGGCAGTATACGCATTGCATCAACATTTATGTTCTCATGAATGTAATGGAATTTTGATGCATAGAACAAAAACAGTTCTTTTGACCTCGTTCAAAAAATGAAGTCATCAATCAATGAAATTGTTACATGAAACAGCAGCATGATCAGGGCCCAGTTCTACAAAGCAAACTTGGTACTACAACTGTGGTAAGTCTGTGTTGAGGTATGCGTGTTACCTTCACTTTGTGGAAATGGACCCAGGTAAGTCATCAAAACGTCCTCAGATCAGCATTTGACAGAGAGTAACAATTAGCTTGCTTTAGCCATAAGGTAGATATATAATGGGGTATGGGTGAACATGTGCGTGGGGTGGGGGTGGTTTGTAACCAGGAATGTTTGTGTCAGGACTTCTTTCCATAACTTTCTTTAACAACTAACAAATAGTGTTTTCCATCACATTTTGAACGGTGACATAATGAACAGGCCATCCTTACCTACAGTTCACAAGTATTTTCTAAGCTGTTTTTTAGATAACCTGAAGTTTTCTGGAAAAGAAGCAGTTAGCGCAAACTAATATAAATATCATGCCTTCATGATCCAAACAAGTTGATTTAAGTAACCTTATAATGAAGGTTTGTTTTGGATGAAATGTTTCAGGTGGAAGTAGCAGCCATTGATTTAACATCACAAATGAACCATCAGATCCTGAGTTTCCAGAATACTGTATATAAAGTGCCCTATTCTAAACTACCATACTTATACCACCACAGGTGCTTTCTTCAGCCAAATCTTCTACCAGTGATATTAGCATGCACAACATACAAACAAAGGAGGTAAAACCCAGGGTAATACGAAAGATAATACAGTTATCATGGAGAGGATTATGTTGGATATATAAAACCCCTAGTAGTAGTACATGTTCAAAGTAAAAAAACACAGATCAAATTTGAGCTTGATCCAGAACACAAAAAACAAAACACCAGCAGATAATTATGATTATTAATATTCAAAGAGGGATACTAATATAGATATCGCATCACTGGAATTGTCTCTTATCCAACTCAAGAACAGGATTTGGATAGCTGTGCGAACGACAAACAAGAAACCTAATGTTATTGACATGAGTTGCATGTCACACTCATCTGAGCTGTACGTTAAACAAACTGATATAACAAGAACGATAATCAGGAGAAAGATTCAAACCCATGAGCAAAGCTTCCTGGCAAACCTAAAGGACAAAACTCTTCACAGTAAGTCGCTCGTATCCACACAATTTCATATTTGATACCTATAAATAATGTACAATTTGTTTCCAAGAATAAAAGGGGTTCAATTTGGATTTTTCACTTCCAGTTCTGAAGAGGAGGATCAAGATTCTGTCCATACAACCAATAATAAGTAAATATGCATGAACAAAAGAAAACTTTACCTTTTGTGAGTATATAAACAGACAATGTTGCAAGAGTCACAAATGGTTTGATTCATAAAGAGTACATTTGATTTGTAGGCTCTTTTGAATCAGAAAATAGGAGAAACCATTGATTGATTTCACAAAGTTCAATGATCATGGCTGTATTATCACTGAAATAAGTGATCCTGCATGTGTCAACAAAGCACTACTGACTTTTCAACAATATTTGAGTTGAAATAAAGATGGCAAATTGGACAGGTATTTCGAGGTTTTAACTTGCAACAGGTAGCCTATTACCTTGAAGCCAAAGATGCCTGAGACACATTCCTGACACAAAGAGAGGAATTGCAAGAATATGCTCTCATGGCTTCAAAATAAAACATACATCAGTTTCACTAAATATACCTAAAAAAGCACAACTGACAAGAAATATAAGTTCGCTGTCATCACACTGATGCTTAAAGGGGTAAAATAACAAGGACTTCAACTAAATTGAAATCATATTTGCAACACAAAAATGAAAACAATTATCACAAACAAAGACATCAGCATATTTGTAACAATAACGCATTTAAGCACCAAACAAGATTTCTTGTAACAAGAAAATCAAATATAAAAAATAGTGACATGTCATCTTGTCTTCCAAGTATATATTCTGGTTAATTAAAGACAAAATTAATGGTATGCAGACAAAACCAAAACAAGAATGATGAGATCAACTATGAACTACCCAAAGGAGAAGCATTCCCACTTTTTTCTGAGGGTATAGATAGCAAATGAAGCCAAATCTTCGGTGCAGGTGAGCTACCAATCTGTGCACACTGTGACTAAACACCAGCTAGCTGTTAGGGTACACAATATGAGATTAACATCATTGAAATTGAGAGAGGTGATGAGTAATATAAAAAAAAGGAAGAAATCACTGACCTCAATTCTATATTTGGATTAATATGTAAAATATACACCTTGTTTATATATTTACCCATTCGTATGCAACCTGTCACTCGACTCAACCACAGACTCAGACCATGTGTTATGCAACTCATCTATCATCATGACCTCACCTTAGACCATGTAGGCATGCAACTCTCATCTGGCAGACAACTTACATGCCAACAAGGGCTCACCTAAGACCATCTGGCACACAGCTCTCATGCCAACATGACCTCACCTTAGACCATGTGGCATGCAACTCTCATCTGGCACACAACTTACATGCCAACATGGGCTCACCTTAGACAATCTGGCACACAGATCTCATGCCAACATGGGCTCACCTTAGACTATCTGGCACACACTCACATGCCAACATGGCTTCACCACAGACCATCTGGCACACAGCTCTCATGCCAACATGGGCTCACCTTAGACTATCTGGCACACACTCACATGCCAACATGGCTTCACCATAGACCATCTGGCACACAGCTCTCATGCCAACATGACCTCACATTAGACCATGTGGCGCGCAACTCACATGCCAACATGGCTTCACCATAGACACACATGCCACACCTAGTCTTATCCTCTGTCAGTACACAACCATATGTCCCTGAGAAAGTTATCAGTACATATTGCTGAGAACCCACTCCACATATGTAGCACCTGACAGGTGCACTTGTCTGGCACTAGTACCCAACACAAAGGTGTATTAAGCTACTGGGTGAACTACAGATATCCCACAACGCTTACACTACAGACTCGATCTCCACCACAACACAGCTGGGCTCCTGTATCTGTACCCGCCTTCCACTCGAGGTTGCCTTCACGACTATATCCCGGTTATAGTGACGCATCCGTTTCCACTTTCTCAACCGCTTCAGACACTTGATAACGAGCAACATTGCACCGGCTATGATTATGAAGGCACCAGCAGCATAGAATGTGGCATCATAGCTCTTCGTTTCATCATACATCCAACCTGTGGGAGACAACAGAAGCCATCATGTCCAAATCTCTCTCTGCTTGTCTGTAACGATGTAGTTCTGACCAATCATATACTGACCATACAATATTCTCTAGGGTAGTGGGATTTTATGGAAAATATGTCATAGAAAATGTGTGCACAAAAAAGGAAATTGTCTGCTACAAATATACATTGTCAAATGTCTTTTGATTTTTTTAGGCTAATTGTTTAATACATCTAGTTTTTCAATTGTAGCTGCAACATACTGAGCTCCAATACAAAATCCCAAAAGGTATAACAAAAGGTAAAGATTTCATTAATTTTAATAACAGTGATTAGTAATGCAGCAGATATTGTTTCCAATATGGGTGCCTTTTGTGATTCTTAGTGGAACAAGCATGTGGTGTTTCAGCCTTGTTGGTACAGTGGGGTTCTGAGAAGATGTTTATGGAAGCTGATGCCTTGACAATGAAAGGATATGACATAAGACCAATTGACTTTCAGTAAAGTGAGCTAGAATATATTCACATTTAAGTCTCCAACATTTTCATCTAAAATATAAATGTTCAAACATACAGAGGTAAGTAATTAACAGCATAGAGTTCAGAAAAAAAATCCAATTGTGATTATAATGTCTCACTTACCAGCAACAGGGGGCCCAATTAGATTGGCAATTCCCTGAATCATCATCAGCAGTCCACAGGCGTTGGTCAGTTTGTCTATCCCCAGGAACTCCACCAGCATGACAGTGGTCAGGGCATAGTTAGAGCCGATGAAGAAGCCAAAGCTGCCTGCTAGGGTGCACATGTACCAGTAGGAGTGCAACAGTGGCACCATCAACACACTCACCCCGGACAGGATGCAGGACACAGCATACAGCAAGTTGAGGCTGATGTCCTTGTCACCCAGGTAGCCATACAGTACCTGGCCAAATGTGTTTACTATGCCAATCACGGAGATTATCAGTGAAGCCCTCTCCTCTGAAACACCCAGCTCTGTTGCCCTATCAGCCATGAAAACATATGGTACATCATACCAGAAGTAGAGAATAAAGTTGGAGATTGCAAATACTAAGAACAAAGGATTTCCGAGAATCTTCACATCAAACATTGTTTTCATCACCCTCTTCACTTGTTTTGATAAGCGGAGAATTTTGCAAAGAGGACATATGTCAAATATATCATCCTCATCATCATCTTCATCATCCTCAAATGAACTTATGTACAACTCTGGGCAACTGCTTGATCTGTAGTGTGTGCCTGACAATTTAAGGAGGTTTCCCCGATAGAAAATGTCCTTCCTATACAGGGGAAGGTACTGTACCATCTTGCTGGGTTTCACTGGTGTCTTACGTTGCCACACTCCATGTCCACGATGAGGATGCTGTTTGTGGCGATTTTGAGGAGTATCATTGCTTGTATTAGACACACCATTGGTGAGTTTATTTCCCTGAGGTTCTTGTGTCATAAACACAATCTGATCATCACTGGTAACAGTCAATAATTCTGCAGTCTTTACCTGCGCATCAGTTACTGTGAAATTCAGACTATGGAAGAATCTTTGAAGGGTTACTTCGATGTTTGAACCATTTTTACGAAATTTGGCAAGAACCTCTTGTGGAATTTCGGTCTTTTGGTCTGAATTGACATATGTAGGGAGCTGCACTTGAGAATGACTAATTTGTTCAAGTTCGAATTGGTTGTCTTTGTTGTCTTCATCAGAGCTGTCTGAGTGACTTACTTCACTGCTATAGCGGCTACGTCCTCGTGAGGGCAGGCTTTGGCGCGAAATGGTTCGGGATAATTTGTCGAACTGTTCCAGTGCCCTCCTTCTCCTTTCTGCTCTTGTAAACTTAAGTGGTCGAAACAAAGCTCCACAAACAACTATATTCAAGAGCACACCTCCCAGAATAAGCACAGTGCCTCTCCACCCATATTTATCAATCAGAAATTCCGTCAACGGTGCAAATATAAACGTTCCTATTCCTGACCCACACACTGCAAGTCCTGTTGCAAGAGCTCTCTTTTGTTCAAAGTAAAAAGCCACTATGACTACCGAAGTGACATAGCACAACGACATTCCTCCTCCTGCAACCAATCCGAATGTTACGCACAGCATCTCTATCGAGTTTCCGAAAGAACTGAGAATGAATCCGGCAGAGGAGACAAATCCCGCAACTATTGTCATTTTCCGACATCCAAATTTGGTCACCAGAGCACTGGCTAGAGGTCCACAAACCAGTGGTACACCCACAAACAGAGAGCCAACCCATGACGTTTTACTTTTGCTCTCACCAAAATGGTCTAAAAGTTCTGTGTACAAGACTCCAAAGGAAAATGCACATCCATCACAAACAGCGGAGACTACGAAAGCCCCCAGAACAACCACCCAGCCCCAACCACCATCTGGAGCATGTGGGAGACTTACCACGGAGCTGTCAGACGAGGAGGAGCTGTCAGAGTGCTCCGTGTTACAGCTCGTGCTGCTGTCAGCAGACTGGTGGCGGGACCGAGGCACAGATAAGTTCTTAGTCTCTGCCATATTAAAGAATTACTACTGAAGAACTCGGCAGCATAGATTGAGAAGAGGGTGGAGAGGCATAGTTTAGTCATTGGCCTGCTGAGGTGCAAAATGCTTTTAAGTGTTGAGGTCTTGGTGCTCCTGGAAGGTTTCTTTCCACAGTGACTTGCCATACAGATACACCAATCCAGGAAAACCCTGCAAGCCAACAGGAATATTCATTACTTAGCAATTTTGGATAAAATAAACTCATAAAATAGACAGAAGAAGAGAAAATATACTGTGTTACATACTCTCTAGTTTTGCACTACACAGATAAATATGCAGAAAGGAATAGATGTGATATTCTTACAACTGAAAATTATGTCAGCTTCATCTTGATAATGCGAAAAATATATAACATGTAGCTAAATGTGGCGGTCTGTAAATAATCAAGTCTATACCAGAAAATCCAGTGATCAACAGCATGAACATCGATCTAGGCAATTGGGATAGGATGACATGTGTCAATTAAGTCAGCAATCCTGCTAGTCGTGTCTTACAACAAGCATGGGTTACTGAAGATAATTCTAACCTGGGTTTCCCTGTCATAAAAGGGACATCCTCCCTGGGAAATGTCACAAGCTTGTGGGTGTTGTCAACAAGTCATCTTTAGAAAGATGCTTCCTGTAACATCCCAACAATACACAACGCCCAATCCCTTCCTTCCTTCAGCTATTGTAATGTATATATGATATTTATTCCTGGTTATGGCCTGACTCTACATCTGTGACAAAACATGCTGGTCAGGAACAGATATCCAGAGAACCAATCTCAACCAACTGGAGTGTATTACGTCAACTTTCACCATATATAGGTTTTGAGACTGAAATACAGCTACTGATACCTGAGAGACAACAGTAATATCTGGCCCAAAATTACATTTTTTTTCTGTTGGGCAAAAAAATTGTATATGACGCTGTACCCGTGTCCAGTTGACGTTCTAATGTTAAATATGTTGCTTATTCAAAACAAGAGTCATCAGAAGATGACATATCCCCCCGGACCCCACATCGTTGAAAGAACAAATCATCTGACAGTTATATCATCTGAGTTATGTCCCGGAAACAAAGCCCACCCCTCCCTTTTGAGACTAAGTCCGAATCGTTTCCATGGAAACCGAGAAAATAATAATCACAAAAGTCTGCAAATAGCAAAAGGCACCACTTTGGGATCTGCCTCACATATCTGCCAAGTTTTGCTGAAAGATATTAAGAAGTTTATATAAATAATAATAATAAGTGCATTTATATTGCGTTATTTTCCATCCGTTGCAGTTGCTCAAAGCGCAGGTATCAAGGATAGTCTGACTGACTGACTGAGTTTGGTTTTACGCCGCTTTTAGCAATATTCCAGCAACATCACGGCGGGGGACACCAGAAATGGGCTTAACACATTGTACCCATGTGGGGATTTGAACCCGGGTCTTCGGCATGACGAGCCAACGCTTTAACCATTAGGCTACCCCACCGCCCCATCCAAGGATAGTACTTGGAGAAGAGATGGGTTTTAAGTTTGGACTTGAAGACAGGTAAAGATGGGGAGGTTTTGATATCAAAAGGAAGACAGTTCCAGAGAATGAGAATGTTTTCCAGTTGTGCTCCGGAAACGAAGCCCTCCCTTCCCTTTTGGGACTAAGTTCGATTTGTTTCCATGGAAACCGGGAAAAATAAAAATGCCAAAAATCTGGAAATAGCAAAAGGCACCATTTAAGGTTCTGTTTGATATATCTACCAAGTTTTGTTGAAAAATATTTAACGGTTCTTGAGTTGTCCTCCGGAAACGAAACCCACCCCTCCCTTTTGGGACTAAGTTCTATTTGTTTCCATGGAAACCAGGAAAAACAAGAAGACAAAGTCATCAATATCCCCCGCAATGGTAAAATACTCTCCATGATTATGTCTACGAGTTATGATTATGTCAAATACTTAGGTGTGTATATAGAAAAGTGGAAGGAGAGTATTGAAAGGTTTTTAAAGTTCTGCTCCAGAAAATAGCACTATCACCAATGTCAGTCAAAGTGAAACTTGTTGCCATGGAAAAGCCAAAATATTTTATTCAGAATTCCAAAACTACCAAAAGGCACCAGTACACCACCAGATATATGTATGTGCCAAGTTTGGTGAAGTCGAAACATTGAACGGTTTTAGAGTTCTGCTCCGGAAAAAAGCACTACCACCAATTTCAGTCTTAGTCAAACTTGTTGCCATGGAAAAGCCAAAAATATTTTATTCAGAATTCCAAAACTACCAAAAGGCACCAGTACACCGCCAGACCAATCTATGTGCCAAGTTTGGTGAAGAAATAGTGAACGGTTTTAGAGTTCTGCTCCGGAAAAGAGCACTACCACCAATTTCAGTCTAAGTCGAAATTGTTGCCATGGAAACGCCAAAAATATTTTATTCAGAATTCCAAAACTACCAAAAGGCACCAGTACACCGCCAGACCAATCTATGTGCCACGTTTGGTGAAGAAATAGTGAACGGTTTAAGAGTTCTGCTCCGGAAAATAGCAATATCACCAATGTCAGTCAAAGTGAAACTTGTTGCCATGGAAACGCCAAAATATTTTATTCAGAATTCCAAAACTACCAAAAGGCACCAGTACACCACCAGATATATGTATGTGCCAAGTTTGGTGAAGTCGAAACATTGAACGGTTTTAGAGTTCTGCTCCGGAGTCCATTTTAATACCCCCGCAAAACGCGTTGCGGGGGATAATAAAAATGCCAAAAATCTGCAAATAGCAAAAGGCACCACTTAAGGTTCTGTTTGATATATCTACCAAGTTTTGCTGAAAAATATTGAACGGTTCTTGAGTTGTGCTCCGGAAACGAAACCCACCTCTCCCTTTTGAGACTAAGTCCGAATCGTTTCCATGGAAACCGGGAAAAATAAAAATGCCAAAAATCTGCAAATAGCAAAAGGCACCACTTAAGGTTCTGTTTGATATATCTACCAAGTCTTGTTGAAAAATATTGAACGGTTTTTTAGTTACGCTCCGGAAACAAAGCCTACTCCTCTTTAAGACTAAGTCCAAAACGTTTCCATGGAAACCGCGAAAATTAAAAATGACAATAATCTGTAAATAGCAAAAGGCACCACCTTAGGTTATGTTTGACATATCTACCAATTTTTGTTGAAAAATATCAAATGGTCTTTGAGTTATGCTGCGTAACAAAATGATTATGGACGGACGGATGGACGGACGAGGCGACGACTATATCCCCCCGCATTACATGCCGTGGGGATAAAAATCAACAAGAAAATCAGCCAGTAGAGTGGAAAAAGTATCAGGGCAAGTGATTTTACATGTGCCACTGTACCAGAGTACACTAACAATGTTAAAGTTATTCCACCCCTGATTAGGGTAGATATTTGAAAGGGTGATGAGTTCTGAGATTCATAAATATAGAGGCTTCTGTAATGAAATGTACTCTCTCCCTGGAGAACTGGCAATATGACAAATTAGTTATCATACAGTGGAATCTCTGATTGTTTCTTATGTGGCTCTTGCCAGACGCCTTCCCCTGCCATGCTTACTGCAGTCTGCACGGCATAAGCATTGATGAAATCATTTATACAGCAAATATACATAAGTGACTTGAAGAAATAGATTTGGGAAGTCATAAGTAGTCTAAAAATCTTCAAAACCTTGTATGTAGGAAACTACCGAGAGTTAATGAGCAGAGTTGTCATCACATGACCTGAAGTCACAGTCACGGAGACTTGACCTGCACACTTTCTCTGTATAGTGTTTGGCAAATTTACTTGTTGTTTGCCAGAGAATAACATAGATGTAAACATTGAATTTTCGATCAGTGACCTTGCACATATTAAATGATATCAATATCAGCCTTTGAAATAGTCAAAACAACAACAGTAGGGAAACTGAGGCAGCTGGAATGAACACGATCAATTACATGTCAACACAGAGAGATTGGGGAATACAATCTGGTATTTAACACTATCCTGACATGTCTAAAATATGCACACCTATCTAATAACAATAAAATTCAAACAAATTGTGTAAAAGGTGTCTGGCGTAGATTGAGTGTCACTATTGTCAAAGCACTGACCAGTGTTTTGTGACATGCCCAAATAACTGTTATTGGGCTAATTTCTTCCGCAATGATAAAGGTTATCTATTGAATGTAATGTGTAGTGAAGATTGGTGGGGTAAATACTGATACTTATACAGCTGTATATGTACTTTACTGAGCAATATAAGGATATCAGTGGCTGGCATTTAGCATAGTACTGCACTCCACTAGTCTGGGTTCATCTCAGGCAAATTCTCCACACAATGATTGTTCTTCAATAGTTACTAGACATACATTCACATAGCAGTATACCGCACATTACCCCAGTGAAATATCTCCTGGAGTGAGCAATCATGGAACATGCCTGTGTGGAGTGATAACATTAACTGTTAAAATAGTTGTAGTCAGCTGAGTATCTAACTGATATAAATCTACCTGTACCAAGTGGACATCTCTGAGTTAATTAACATAGTAATTATATATTTCCCATCATTACATATGTCACTAAAGCATCATTTATGCCATTAAAATGTTCTCCGATCCATTTCATCACATATATCTCAATCAACATTTTAAAGCTGCATAGGGGCGGTGGGGTAGCATAGTGGTTAAAGCGTTGGCTCGTCACGCCGAAGACCCGGGTTCGATTCCCCACATGGGTACAATGTGTTAAGCCCATTTCTGGTGTCCCCCGCCGTGATATTGCTGGAATATTGCTAAAAGCGGCGTAAAACTAAACTCAGTCAGTCAGTAAAGCTGCATATGATAGCATGAAGAATGTACCTGTTCCAGGTCATTTTGTCGTTCTTGAAATACCACAAGTGTTACAACCAATATTGTCATTATGTTTATAAATGGCCCGATTTGTAATAGCCATCAGTTTTAGCTTCACAGTGATTTTAGCATAGTTATCCAGCAATATTACATATCATGGCGGACCTCAGAAATTGGTTTCCATTGTGCCAATGTGGGAATTGAACCCACTGGTCTTCGGCATGACGAACAATGTTTTCTTGTGTAAGTAGAACTTGTATTGAATGCAATACAGACAACCACTACATGTTGATTTCCAAATCACGACCTGTATGTTGAGATGATGCAGTTCCAATCCCCCCTT